CCGAATTATGGAACAAATTCGAAGGAACTACGTTTATAATTGCTTATCTTACAATTCAAGGTCAATCATCTCGTGTTGAAGCCTTGAGACCATCCCTTCAATTTTGGGCCAATATTGAGAGAATAGTTTTTCCAATTTCATGGTCTTATGATAATATTAAAAGAGAAATTACTCTTATTTGGTCCTTGATTGATAGAAAAGCTTTGAAACGTGACCCAATTTTCTATCATCATATATAAAAGATCATTACTAAGCTTAGAAATGGTAACATCAAATTATCTCAGTGGTCACAAAACAGATTTATGGAAAAGCCGACAAGAATTTAAACCTTCAAATTTACATCATTAATAGATCATAAAAATACAATCAATCTTCACTAAGTAATATCTTTAATAACCCAAATAAGTCAACTCGAATTCCAAACCAAACCTTTTGAGGTGTTCATTTATTTTTTTTGCCAATGAAATATTGTCTAGCTCTCTAATTTCAATCGTTGCCTTCCCCATCGCTAACTACTTGACAATTTAAAAAGGTTCACACACCTGGGCCCACCAAACAAACCATGGAGATTCCAAAAATCAAGTCATTTTTGAAAAATTCATTTAAATTACAGATTTATTTTTACAGAGCTCGATAGTTGACTATACAAAGTGCCAATTTAGAAACACTTTCTGTGAACGATACCTGGACCGGCATCCTCATATTCTTCCTTTGTGATCCACATCTGCTGAAAGGTCGAAAGGCTCGCTAAGATGGAACCTCCAATCCAGACAGAGTACTTTCTTTCTGGTGGAGCAACAACCTTAATCTTCATTGAGGCAGGAGCCATAGCAGTCAATTCCTTGGTCATTCTTTCAGCAATACCTTCGAACATGGTAGTACCACCAGACAAGACAACGTTACCGTACAAATCCTTTCTGATATCAATATCACATTTACCAATTGAATTGAAAGTAGTTTCATGAACACCAGCAGCTTCCATACCAATAAAGTTTGGTTGGAACAAAACTTCTGGACATCTGAATCTTTCATTACCAACAGTGATAACATTACCATCTGGCAATTCGTATGATTTTTCAACTGAGGATGATTCAGCAGCAACCTTCATTTCAGCTTCAAAGTCCAAAGCAATATAACAGAGCTTTTCCTTAATATCTCTGACGATTTCTCTTTCAGCAGTTGTGTTGAATGAGTAACCTCTTTCCATCAAAATCTTCATCAAGTAATCAGTCAAGTCACGACCAGCCAAATCCAATCTCAAAATAGCGTGTGGCAAAGCATAACCTTCATAAATTGGAACAGTGTGAGAAACACCATCACCAGAGTCCAAAACAATACCAGTAGTTCTACCAGAAGCATACAAGGACAAGACAGCTTGAATGGCAACATACATAGCTGGAACTGAGAAGGTTTCAAACATGATTTGAGTCATCTTTTCACGATTTGCCTTTGGATTCAAAGGAGCTTCAGTCAACAAGACTGGATGTTCT